CCCCCCCCCCCCCCCCCCCCAGGAAAATGTTATGGTCAATATGAATGCTTTCATGAAGTCAATAAAATTGGCACCAAATGACTTTGTCAGTATCAATTAGCTTTTTCCAGGTTTAGGTGGCATTTCTCCAGACAAATATACACTCACTGTTCTTCAGCACATTCTTTTTCGCTTTTGGACCGTTAAAGGTAAAACATCTAACAATCCCCAGGTCAATTTTGATCTTGTCTACATCATAATGAAGGTGTAATGACACCCATGTCGCGGTCAAGTCAGTGACAAGTTGAATCTGATCTAAAATGCATATCACTTCAGGCAGTTTACCGTAAGGATGCAGACTTTTAGCACTAAGATGGTCGCAGTAGATTTGTACAATAATCGTGTAGCTACCGAAACGTTCAGTAGAAATGGATTCCCCTCTTTCCGGCTCAGTATTGGTACTTACGCTCTGAAAGAAAGTTGACCATCTTAGCCCGAGTTACTCTCGCATAATTTAAACAAGGAAAAAAGGCCTTACGCCCCTTCAATACTGATTCGTGACCAATGATAAATGAATTTCGACTTTTAAGGAAAAATTACCCTTTTTTGCGTTTTTTGTTGGCTTTTTTTTGCAATTTTTCTAAACACCTCACCTGCTTATTCTATGAGTAACTAAAATCGCGTGTGTAAACTTTACCCCAGCGACGTGGTTGACGTCATTGCTGGAATTGGGCGAAAATTATATAAAATTCAAAAAATAATAACGACGACAAAGAGATTTCCCAAGACACAAATCAAGGAATGTAGTAGCTTTTATTCGATCTGATTTCTAAAATGGAATCACGAGAATTAAAGGAGCGTCCCAGGAGCGTGCAAAGCGGCTCGTTCCGGCCCACGGACCTGCATGGAGTCATGCAAGCAATATTTTATGTTCAATTGGCAAAAGAGAAATAAGAAAATTAAAAAAATCAAAGAAAAATCGCCATTGACACCTTTTTTTCTAAGCGACTTGGCGGTGACCTTTTTTTGTTTTTGGGTTATTTCTGCGTTCACTCTAGACTTCTGGCCAGAAATGAGATAAATCTTAGCTACTTTCAGAAAAAAGATGGTTTGAAGCGGGCTGAACTCGCCAATCGTGTTTTTCTTGTCCAAAACCCAGAGCTCCTCTGTCCAAAACCGGAAATGCTTGGAGGAGTTGCTTTGAATTGACCAATGGAAGCAACGAATTTTGTCATGTGAGCATTTTGTTACGTCATGAGATTTGGTTCAAGTATCAGATAACAAAACGTCTTGTGACATGATAATCTTTTGCTAAAGAAAAAGTTTGTTTCGTTAAAATAGAAACTACTTCTGCGCAATAGTCCTTAGCAATAGGGCTCAAACAATAATAAATAATCGAGTGATTAAATTTAAGGTTCCATGAACGCCTATACTGAGCGTTATTCTTAGAAATATTAGGAAAGTAAACTTGGTATATCCGCGGTTCACAGTAAACATGGCGGAGCAGAGTTCTGGGGTTTCAACGAATTTTACTCCCTTGGAGCCATTTGTACACCAAGTTGGAGGACATTCTTCAATGATGAAGTTTGATGAAATATCTGTCTGTAAGCCATTCATCACAAGGGAACATCGATATTATGAAGATCTGCCTTCGGAAATGAAAGCCTTCACACCCGAATATCGAGGTAAGTCGTTGGGCGCCCTAATCCATAACTGGCCTTATTTAACTTAAAAACTAAAATATATACGTTGATGAAATTCTTTTGTTCTTTTCTTAATCCAAAGACATGTTTTACTTATATTTCGCGACATTATCTCTGGCACAGCCCCTTGATTGAGCCTAAATTTGAGGTGCCTTCTGTGAATGCATCTATCTAATAATTAAGATTAACATTTTTACCGCTGAAGTCAATCTGTGAAAGAGATATATAAGTAGGTCTTTCATTCTTTTCATCAAGGTTGGCCGAGTCCAAATCAACTGTTTTTGTAATCTTTATTCCAAATATTTTGTTTGTTAAAGCATAGATTACCTATAAACAGCTTGACCAGTAATTCAAGTCCAGGCAATCGGCCAAATTTATTTATAGCAGATAATAATAAAGAGTTTTCGATTACATACATATTTTATTTTTATCAGTTGCACGACTTGTACTTCATGGTCACCCGAGAAGGCGTTAGAACTATTTTATGTAGTGTTTAAAAAACGAGTAGGAGTGTTTTATCAGGTATAAAAGCATGAGGCGTAGCCGAGTGCTTTTATACCTGATAAAACACGATCTACGAGTTTTTTGAACTGCTTAAAACACTCATGAACAATTTATAAGATTTTGGTTCAACTGGAGCCAGCATACACGTCACAAACATGGATTTTTATACTTTGATAGAGATTTGACGTCATGGGCATGCGCAACCAGATTCAATAGAAGCTCCCACATGTTGGATATTGCGTGCCAAGGCAAAGACAGGCACCTTAGTCAAAGATCATTAGGGTTGACTATGACCTTGATGAAGCTCTATGTCTTCATCTAAACTTGGATGCATACTTCATCCCTGATGAAGTCATCCTCATAGTATTCGAGAGGTCTTTATATAAAGATCACATGTGACTTTATATAAAATCACTTGAATACTAATGAAGAGGACTTTATCGGGTATAAAGGTTCATGCACGTGACGTGTATGGTGGCTCCAATTGGACCATAAGCTTATGAATTATTAATGAGTGTTTTAAGTAGAAGTACTATATTTGTCTATGCTATCATCACTTTCCGTAACTTTGAAAGCATGAATTGACTAAAATTGTAGTCTCATTACTGTAAATGGCCAAAGCACAAATATGCTAATCAATTTAACCTCGAAGACTTAATAACCCTAATTAGAGTTTGGTTTGCTTGTAGGATTATAATGTACAGTAACCCCAGTATCTATCTGTTTGATCACAATCATGTTCTAACTGGCTTCTGAAACTTTTTTCTGCTAAAATGTCAAAAGGCGGTCTCTTTGCACCTAGATGCAAGAAATATTTAAATGGCCAATGAAATAATATACATGTATGTAAAATGTAAAACTACCCAGTCATAAACAGAGCATGCTTACAGAAGTTTAAGGTTGAGTGCTAGAAGGTGATATATCTTTGTACAGACATTATGTAAAAGGTTGTGTAACATTTGTTTTCTTAGGGTTCCATGATGACCAAGAAAGTATCTAATTCATTAATTACTGCCCTGTAATATAATGTCATCAGTGGCTGTTAGTCATTTTTAACTCATGGATACGAGAAGCGTACAAATGAGTTATTGTGAGGGGTCTGAATATGCAAATGTGTCACTCGCTCACTCACTAAGATGTTAGCAGATTGATAATTAAACATTTACCAATCAACTTACGTCATCTGATTACGAACGTTACATGATGCTAATAAGTAAGAAGCTCTTATTCAGTATAGATTACCTAGTTATTTATATGAGGAAATGAAATGCTGATGTTCCATGTGGGATATTTTAAGCACTGGATACCATGCGGACCCACTGTGCATGCGTGCACTCGCACATAAATTGAAGTAAAATAATACAATTAATGCCTGAAATAAAATTTCAATGAGTTAAACCTTTTTTTCTGATGTATTAAAGTAAACAAAAACGCTCATGTACAACGTCAACATCGAGCCGGATGCATAGAAAAAAAGCTCTTTTCATTAGAATTCAAAACGAGAGTCACATTTCAAGCTCTGGAGGACTTTATTCTCCATAGAGACAGCTCAAAGTCACAGCAGTATTCAGCTAAAAAAATCTCATAAACTCGATTGAGCATTGTTTTATTAGAACAGTTGTATTTACTAAGTGCCGGACTTCTTAAGAAAATAATCTATGTGGATGTGGATCGTGGAAAAATTAGCAAAAGATGAAAAAAAGAACAATTCCAATGGAGTTTTGAAGGAAGTTCGGCCAATTTTGTCATTCAAATAAGCTGTTCTGAATAAAAAGTAGATTGATTGACGCACGTTACGAACAGTTGAAGCAATGTTCTTGTATTTTGAAATGTGCGAAGGTCTATTTAACAAGAATTTAATCCAATAAATAATCAATAATTTACAGACTTGAATGAAGACAAATTCAATACCATTTCTAAACGAATTTCTGTAAAATATTCGCTTAGTTCACAGTGTAAATAAATAGTTTCATGTGAAAACTTCGGGCAACAAATCTAGGAGCCGTGACCCTTGAAGGTCAAGATAAGTAGCAACGCAAATCAACGTAATACACATAAACGGCCGATTATCTTGTATATTCAGTTTTGAGCTTGTAGGTTGAATGATTCCTGGAATAAAACACTCAGCCTGCCTCTTAAATTGAAAACAGAGAAAGCATTTGCAAATAGATCTTCTTCCAATTATACTCTATACTTGACTCAGTTGACTCCATCAAAGTCGAAATCATCTTTTGTAATTGAACTTCATACGATTAATTCATTACAGAATTTGCTTCCAAACTTGACAAAATAACAAAGATCTAGGTGTTAATAGGCAAATTAAAAGGAGGATTACTCATACTAGATAAATTGAGTATTTAAAATATTAAATCGAGTGAAATACTTGGAATCCTTTAAATGTCAGCAAGCATAAGGAGGGCACAGGGAGCCCAATCTTCGAAAAATGCAACAATGTCCATGAGTTTGCCAAAGGGCGGTTTGATTTATTCAGCTTGCATGGCATGAGAAGCATAGCAATCCTTGCATCCATGTTATCTCTACAACATGTACATACATTGGGTGTATATAGTGAATAGATTAGAGAATGAGTAATAATTGTTATTGTTAAAGTAAGATTCATGAAAGTCAAGGAAACATGTCCAACATTTTCAAAGAACGCCCTCTTTTTTCGTTCAAAAGGGACCGTAATTTACACTCTTTCTTAGTTAAAGAAATAAAGAACCCGGTACTTTTCGCTGTTCTCGCAAACGTTGCTACACTTGCCCCTTTGTTGCTTCACATACTTCTATTAAAGGTCCCAAATCCACCTTTAATATTACAGATCATTTTGATTGTACTTCTTCTAACGTCATCTACTGCATTCAATGTTCACGCTGTAACATGCTCTATGTTGGAGAAACTGGCCGCCGATTAGGTGATCGTTTTAGAGACCACCTTTACGACATTCGCAAGAAAGATTTATCTAAACCAGTTGCTCGGCACTTTAACTCTGCTAATCATTCTGAGCTTAATGCTATTGTTTTTGGTCTGTGTTTAACCCACTGCAGCAACAATCATCGTAAAACAAAAGAAATGCGCTTAATTCATTCACTTGGCACCGTTAATCCCCACGGGATGAACGAACGCTTCGCTTATAATTAAGTTATTTCCCACCTATTGTTGTTTTCGATCCTTTTGTTTTCCTTTGTTAAATGGCTTGCTTTTTTCTTATTGGTTTGTTTTCTCTCTCCTCTACTATATAAACATCTCTCTTACTCTTACTTTCTATTGACTCCGACGAAGGACTAACGTCCGAAACGTCAGTTACTATTTTCACTACGGTGTATAACTTATCATTCTACGATAACTGTTTTATTTATTATTAGTTTTATACTACTGGTTAGTGGCGAAAAGTAAACTTCTTTTACAGTGGCTTTGCAATACATGGAAAAGCATACTTCAGATTCAAACCTCAAAGGTAGTGAACCCATGAAAGAATAGAATGAATAGCATGAAATATTAGATTTATAAAATTAATAATATATCAAAGGCACTAGGCTATTTTATCATTCACTAGAATACATAAAAATATGCTTGGTAATTCTCCTTTTTTTAATTTTTATTTTGACTTTTGAACATTTTGAAAAGAAAAGCTACCCTACTCTACTAACTGCAGTGGCTTTATTGGTTTTATTTTTATCTATTCTATAAATGGCCATTGGTTATGAAAAAACCCATTCCAATACCTCAATCTTTTCACTGAATAATTGATAATGAAATGTCCCACTTTTTAAAAAGTGTTGCCATTTTTATCAATTCATATGAATATATTATAGTGACAAGAAGAGATAACTTGTAGCTAAAAACTAGTGCGAGCTGCGTCGGTGTTTCAAATGAAACAGTGATGATAAAAGGGTAAATTTGACACCATGAAAAGATAATGAGCAAAATGGGTGGTACCCTGGTAATTTTAAAAGTTATGATTTAAAAAATATTTTGAGAATATGTTAAATTGAGTGTTCAAGTGTGACAAGCATGACATGGTTGAATGGGGCTGCATGAGCTATTTTTGGCACATTTGCACTCTCATTTCAGTTTCCACCTTTCTCTCCTTGTGATTTTACAAGGGGAAAAAATCTAAAGAAATACTAAAAGTTTTAATAAGTATTTTCTGTGTAGAAGAAAGGATTTCATCAAGCACAATGGTACCTATATGTTTTTTTAGATTGACCAGCTTTGTTTTACAGTGAAGCACAGGTGGCATTGTGGTAAGTTTGCTTGCCTCTGGCCAATGCGACCTGACTTTGAGTTCTACCGGGCTCTGTGTAGCATGAGAGTAGAGTTGTTTGTTGGTTCTCTCCTGTGCTTTGAGGGTTTTTCTCTGGGTTCTCTGGTTTTCCACCCTCCACAAAAACCAATTTTCAAATTCCAATTTAATCTATTGGTTGCCTTGTAATTAGGTCGTAGACCTGTAAGACTTTCCCTCCACCTCAGAGTGGTAATTTTAATTAAATATGAATTCAAATTTAAACTGTTTACATTTAAGTTCAACTTCACAAAAACGAGAACAGATTTAAGCAAAATAATTATTTTCTATTCCCTTTTTTAATGATCATTTCCTTTTTCATATATAATTAGTAATTTAGTAAATGATTAACTTTTTAAATTTTTTTTGAGTTTATCGAGTGAAAGACTGATCAACAACACAATAAGAAAAAAGCTCCTTCTTTGTAATTACCATAAACCTTTGAAAATAATTCCTCGGCTTATATTTGCCCAAGGCGCCTTTTTTTGGTCTTAAACAATAAAAGAGCAATTATGAAATTATGTGATAATAGGCTTATTTTCAAGGGGCTTAAGGTAATGTTATCGCACAATCTTTTGTTGTTAGAATTTTTATAAAAATGAAGCATAAGTTAATAATTTTTGAGTAGTACATGGAGAAAACAACAACAAAACCTAGGAGTAATTTGCTTGCTATGGTAGCTCAAAATCCTTTCACATACCAAATTTTTAATTGAAAATAACAAAAGTGGTTACAGTACAATTTTTTGAAGCGTAAATAGTTTTTGAATAGTACATGGAGAAAACAACAACAAAACTTAGGAGTAGTTTGGATGCTATGGTAGCTCAACATCCTGTCATA